GGTGAAAAGTGGATATTACATACCATAATGGACTAGGTGGTTGGAAGGGAGGAGTTAAAAACAAAACAGAACATAAACATAATCAGCTAAGGAAGGTAATTTCAGAGGTGGATCAAACTATTAAGTTAAGACTTTTTTGAATCTGGAATAATATGCACAGATGAATGTGCCCCAAGAAAATAAACAGGGTCAATTTGCATGATGACTTTTCCTTAACAGTTGACTTCCATTTAACAATTTAAACAGGTCAACATTATTTACATGTTATTTGACATCAAATAACTCTTTTGTTACAATTGTACACAGTTTTTTTTTTATTTCTTCCCATGATGCACTCAAAGAAATGTGTCGAGACAAAAAACAACAGCACAATCTCTGAATGTTCCCCTATAAGAGCATTAAGGAACATAAGAGCCACAGTAACATAGAGACAGCAGTGAGTCGGGGAGAAGTGGGTGTCATGGGTGACTCCATGGGAGGAGATGGCCTTGAGGTAGCTGTGTCACTAAAGATCTCCAGAACCTTGCTTTCTGTGCAACCCCAAGGGTGCACAAGCCTCAAGGCATCTCACTCCTGTGTGAAAACTGGCAGGGCGGTAGAGGACATTCGTAGGTAGAGGATTCGGGTAGAACTCTACACGCTCTGCGTGGTGTCATCCAAAACACCCAACTCTCCATGACAGCACTCTCTCTCCATGGCCCGTTATGTTCCTCTCAGCATAGCTGCCCACACAGCTCTCACTTTATCCTTGTAATTCTCAGTCTATTCCGCTCATTATGTCCCACTACCTCTGGAGGTTTGCTGTCACACTGAATTGGGTCTACACAACAATTTAGCCAGGAAAGAGTATTCAGAAAGTGGAACAGATTGATTAAAATTAATGTTTTTGTAATCTATTGTCAGTAAAAAAGGGAGGCTCTCAATATTTTAAATGCTGGAAAAGTGGTAATGCTTTAAAACTTCATTGCTTATAAATGAAGGCATCATAAAAGAGAAAGGTTCCTGGGCGACAAGATGATTAAATTATTTCTCTCGTGTCTACTTGCCAACACTGTGGGCTGCCTAAATGGCATTCAAAAGCTAAATCCTTTGGAGGAACGCCACATGTATAAGGTAATGCGCAGATCTCTGAGAGAGCGAGGGCTTGTTGAGGCTTTTCAAGGCCTCTGAAAGTTTCCCTCCAGCAGTGTGTACCTGTCAAGGACACCTGGCCTCTGTGATACCGTCACCATGGTAGCCTCCTCCAGCCCCTTGAGTAACAGATACAGCGCATACTGGAGCTCAGCGGCGCTGAGAGAGTCTGTTCTGGAGATGAATGCGGCAGATGGAAATGCCTCGGGAGATCTTTGCACTAGCCATTGATTTCTCTAGCAGAAAGCGGTCCCGTTATTGGCCACAGCCAAACCTCAGAGTCAGTTGAAGAACTCGGCAGACAGGCTTTGGGTGCAGCGAGCCGAGCGGTACTTGAGTTCGTGGTAGCACTGCACAAAGCTGTGGTAGATGAAGGTGATCGGAAGAGCCAGCAGCACTATCCCGCTCACAACGCACAGGCCACCAAGCACACGTCCCGGCACAGTGATGGGGTACATGTCTCCATAGCCGAGATGTAATAGGGGGTAATGGCCAGCAGGTCTATGATGTTCAGCGGATGTCGCACAAACTCACACTTGTCTCGTGACACAATGAAGCGCACGATGCACTCTGCCGTGAACCATCCGATGCACACCGCCTCAATGATCCTGGACAGGTGCGTGGTGATGGGGAAAGAACAGAAAGGCAGTTTGAGAGAGAAAGAACGGGATAAGGAACATAGTCTCATTAACCGCATCAGATGTTTAGTTCAAGGTGCCAAAGTCTGAAATAATTCAAAGCCATTTTAAAGATTTCACTGAGACTCGTCATCTTGTTTGCAAAGCTGTTGAATGATTTACACATTGCTATTGCTGCTCGCTCACAGATCCTTTGAAAAGCTGACTGAAATTTTCTGAGGCAACAAGTAGTAAGGTCAAAAAGCCAGCAATCGCTTTAGGAATGAGTTGACTTCCTTCAGAATTATGCCTTTGTTCAAGATTGCACTTACAACTTTAATAATGGCTTAGAATTAATGAACTGATGAAATTACATGTGCAAATAAATAAATGAACAGCTCTTTTATTGTCTTGTGATCCAAATGACCATTAGCTAATTGCTAATTGAAACAAATGCACAGTAAATTTATATTTTCATTATGTGAAATGCATTTTGAAATGCACTACGCTACTTAATCCATGCAGTCACTTGGAATCCCATAAGGCCTAGCAACACCGTTTATGGAGTAATGCCAATATTGATCACAGTATTTGTATTCCTCTCAGAGTCTAATGATGACAGTAATGATGTCTGATGAAAGCAGACAGGAAAATGGATTGAAGTGTATTCACAGAACGCCAGTAATTGTTAGTGACTGAGTGAAAAAAAAAGAAGAAAAAAAAACACTAATATTAAGCAGATATGTCAATGCTCATTGTCTTTATCTGTTTTGGCATTTTGTTCAAACGGTTGCTGGGGCTTAAAGGGTTGGATAAATAAATAAAATAAATAAATAAAGGCAAACCATTCCAGTTCAGAGCCCTGTCAGTTTCTCTTTGTTTTAAAAACCAAATCAATATAATTTCAAATTTGATTCTGAGGATGAGATTAGAATGTTTGAGCTGAGAACTGGTGGAACAGATCTGGCAACAGATAGCAAAGTTTATTTCTCTTTGGTTCTCTGAGAGAGAAACAAGTTGCTGTTTCAAATCCACTTGACAAGTTGGACAAAAAAAAGTGTTTTTCCATTTTAGACAAATTCAGATTTTGTCTTTTATCAACATCTGTTACTCCAAAATGACTGGTGTAGCCTAATTCTGTTCCAGTGTTTCAAACCCCAAAATAGATGCACAAAATGTCCCATTTTACATCAAGTGGAGTGAAACTCTAATTTATATGCATTAAAATTGCCTGACGTTTTCACGTCAGACGTGCTTTTCTGACAGAAGTCAACTTTGAGCTGGAATAGAAGCACCACGGAGGAGAAATGGAGGCATTGAAAGTTGTCCCCAAAGACAAAATCACTCCTACTAATGACAGCTGAAAAAACGAACCTGATTTTTCAGCAACATAGACCATGTTATATTTTGTACACACAAACATACACAGTATGGAAGTTTGCTCCTTAGGTACCAGTACCTTCAGAACAGTCCACGTGGCAGTTATGAATACGGAACAGACAAACACAGAGGTTAAAAGGATATTAAAAACAAAGAAAATTGCTAACATACTAGTTTTTCCAGTGGTTGTTTCTAACACTGTTTGATGCAGGTTTCTAACTATGTAAATGACTAGTGGCACCAGTATTCGACTCACCTTTTGCTCTTTTATTTATTAGTCTTATTGTCATTTTTTTCATTAATTAGCTTCTTGTTTAAAATGGCCTTAAATGGGGTCAGAAAAAACAGTCCAGCTTAAATAATTTCAAACAGCTGACATGCTTTGCTGTTTAGAATCCATTCCTCCTCATGACCTACAAACTGCTGGCTCTCAACCTTCAATCAGCACCTTGGAGAGAGACAGCTCTACCTTCCTCAGAATAGTGCGCTTTCCAGCTTCGCTTCAGTTTTAGCTACGCACACTGTTACCAATCTCACAATCAGTGAAAATCGAGGAGCTTCGAGATGCTCGAGTAGGCTATTTGTTGACTAGACTATGACACTTTATGACTTCTTTTCATGCTGAAAGATAAAAGACAAACATTTAGGAAATATGATAACATGACAATATACACATGATACAGAAGACTGTAGACAAGTGTGGCTTCAGACGCGTATATTTATAGGCATTGCTTTGTGAGAAATAGACGCACATACACACTTGATGTGTTCTTGTATTAAAACAGCTGGACAAACAGCTTGCATTAAAACAACTATGTGTTTTTAAAAGTTGAATTGATTTTGACTGCTCATGACATGGTACGTCATGCAATGGACAATGGACATCATCTGAACAATTAAAAATAGTGCAGACCAAACACAGCCTAGAATAAAATTTATAAAATAACTGGAATTAATTAGGTGATTCCAGATCTTTCAAGAAGAATGTTCTTGAATAAAATAGAAGAAATATGTCGTTTTTGTTTGCTGAGCTTGCACACTGCACATTATCTCAGCACACAAGTAAACAAATTTCTATGCTGCGGTCAGGAGGGGGCAAAGAGTAACTTAGGAGAAAACCATCTGAAAGTTTAAATATTGTCATATAATTATTAATCCATACAAAACAGCAACTGCTTCCAATGACCTATATAAAACATAATAAATTATAAAAAAAATTATTTAGTCAGGACTGTGAGAGCATACATTTCATGGCAGTGGGATGGAAAATCAGAAGAGAAAATGTCCAAGTGAGTGCTCAATGGTGGATTATTATAGATAGGTTAGACAGGCATCTTTGACCTCTCATTCATTTCATTTCAGTTCTTTTTTTTGTTTTTGTTTTTCTCAGCATCCCATGCCATGAACTTTACATTTTTAAGACACTGTGCTATGTTAAAGTTACAAACACTACCTTTTTATTTATGTTGTATTGGTTGATATGTGGGCCCCGGCTTTATGTCAATGCTTGAGGTAACATTTCATTTTTTTATTTTTATTTTTTTTCCAATGAGCTAAAGTACTCAGTAGTAAAGTTGTTATGAGAAGCATTTGGCTGGTCGTGTGATTTCAACGTCAGCCCCATGAGAGACCCTCTCCATGTAAAATAAAACAGCTGTCCTAGGCTACTCTATACCGTATGAGTGTAAATCACAGATTTATTAAAAGTACTAATTATTTGATCATGTCTAGCGTTTTATTTAGACTTAAAATTGTTAATTGCACCTTTAAAAGACATTCAACGTTTAAGAACTAGTCGAGACACCTATGTGTGCTGTTTCATTTCCTCTGCGTGGCGTCTAGCTGTTTTTGAACACAAGAACGCATCCTGTGTCAACGACCCCTGTGGGATATTTTACAGCTGAAATCTCACAAAAAAAAAGTTAGGACGTTTATTCAAGAAAGAAGACATAAATACCCGGATGGATGCTCTAAAGAGTCTGTGTACCTGTGCTCTTCCACTATGTTGCTCTCGGCAGTTTTCCAGTCTGGAAGAGTGCTCGCGCAAAGCATTACCATGGACACAATGACAAAAATCACCGACACGGACGCCAAAATTTGCGCGGCCAGGGAGGAGGTGGGCTCTTCGAAAGTCCTGCGCATTCGCTCCAGCCACTTTGAGTCGCGCTTCCCGTTTGACGATGCATCCGTCCTGAATTCATCGTCCGTTCCGTGGTGCTCCTCGATGAAGTGAGTGTACGTGTCGGACATGCGGTCGTCGAGTCTCCGCTGGCAGCAGAACTCCAAATGAGAGGTTTCCAAACCCCAGTAGATCATCTCGTTGTAAAACGACAGCTCGCACATATGCGGGACGAAGCGCAGTTTGCCGTACTTCACGTACAGCATAATGAAGCCGAACGCTTCTGAATGTCTGTCAAAGAAGAACTCGTTCCTCTCTCTATCGTAATCATCGCACACTTCCAGCACTTCTCTCTCTGAGGCGCAACTGTGGAGACGACTCACTCTCCTCAAAGGGAAATCCTTGATTACGTCCTTTGGAAAAGCATACTTGGTGCCACCCACGTTTATGATACAGACGCTTTTGCCGAACTTCATTTTTGCGAACTTTTAAATCCTAGAGTGCAGATGAAAGGCATGTTCAGTGGGTAGCGTCAAATACTCCCAGCTTTAGCTTCAAAGTTCAGGCTTCCCCCTTCTTCAAGTGTCCACCAAGCGGCTGGAGATAACGCCGTCTCTCTTGGCATCCTCGGTTTGGAGAAAACTTGCGCGCTCGCGGTGCGCTTGTACCTGCGCGGCGGCTGCGCCCCGCCGATCTCCACTCCACACACGCGGCATCACGAGGGCACTTCGGTTTCCGCGATGCACCGAATCAACCCAACCTGCGAGTGAGGCACCGGGCGCGAACAGTGATGCTATGCGTGCGCGGACACGCATGCACGCACACACATAGCTCCAGAAGTGCTCTCAGGTCTCTCCTCTCGATATTCTGCTGTCTAGCTACAGATTTCAGGAGACACTTATCTGTCGTTAAGAGTCTACTTCAGTATCTAACCACTTACACATTCATCTTGCACAATCTTCATAATGTCCTAGTTCTTTAGTAATATTATTTTTTAATCATTTTGAAGGAGAACATAGATCTTAAAATTACTACCTTAAAATTGCATATATTATAAAATACAGTTAAAATATTGTAAAATATAAAGATACTTGAAGCACCATTTGTGGTTTCTCAGATCACTGGAGTGACTGAACCTTCTGGAGAGCATCCAAGTAGGCTACGTTTTAAATGTGCCTCAAATATCCTATTGTACTCAACGAACTTCATAATTCATATTTCAAGTGCATTAACAGATTTCCCTTGATACAATTCCTCGAACTGTTGACAGTCTTGCAGTATGACTCACCATATAATTTAACGAGAATGGGCAGAATTCCCCGTGCGAATCACATTTGTACGTATTTTAAAAGTTGGGTTCTTGTTACTTTTGTTATCAGTGTTTTACAATGGAATGTTTATGATAGATTTAATTAAGTTTAGTTAAAGGGGTCATATGATGCGATTTCAGTTTTTCCTTTCTCTTTGGAGTGTTACAAGCTCTTGGTGCATAAAGAAGATCTGTAAAGTTGCAAAGACTAAAGTCTCAAATCCAAAGAGATATTCTTTATAAAAGTTGAGTCAGCTACGCCTACCTAAAACGAGCTAACGCCGCCCAAATGTTCATGCAAAGAAAGAAGGCGTAACTTTTATTCTCGCTGTAGTATTGTTGTTGCCGCCGCCATGTCTTGAAGGTGGTGTGTTTCATTGTGAAAGCGAAACTACTTTGTTTGGCCTTCCAAAAGAGGACGATATGGCTTCGTCATGCCTGGAGCTGATCCATGCTGGTTGCTGAGGAAATACAACAACTTTGCGCTGTTGATCGCCGGATCGGCTTTCACCGTGGACGAAGCCACATGTGCTTGCCGCTCCTTCGTCGGATCCGCCGGCTGCGCCGTTCTCAACCCCGCCACCTCAGCTCACTCTAGCCCGGCCTCAGCTCACGCTA